GCGAGCTGTACTTCGACGATTTGGCGGCCCTAACGATGGGAAGAGCGTTAGTGAATGCTGTTGTAAGGCACTGCGATGCTAAACGCTACTCACGGCGTAGTCAATGTGGGATCCGACGACGAGTCCTTCTGTCCGGCCAATAAGACCGTGCTGCACAGCGACGATGTCACCAGGCTAAAAACAACAGCACCGTCAGCGAGTGAAGGCGGTCATCGACAGCTAGACGAGCGTACGATAATCTCATCAGACGACATGGTGGACGATGGGAGCGGTGGGTAGCGCAGAGGAGTCTTGAGGAGGCTTGAGGTGGTAGAGATGAGAAAACAAAAGTTAAGGAAACTTGTGGTATCGCTGGGGAGCTTTTATAGATCAAGTGCCACGATTTTGCGGGCTTGTGGTGGACGTCCTGAGTGCGTGAGGCAGCCTTGAGGCAAACTGGTCGTCGTGGAAGCTAACCAAGACGGAACCAATTTCAGAAATTTCATTGTTCCTCTTCGCGACTTTCCGTGCGCTCACGTAAATGGGAAAAAAATGTACAACATGCTACGTTTCGGTACACAAAATACATTAGTGAACAAAGGTACACGTTCGACGAGGAATAAGTAATAGCGTCGGGGAATTGGCAGCGGAGGGCGCCCAGTCGACGGTGAAGTTGCCTCGCGCATCAGTCTCGACGAGAATACCGTCAATAAGGGCGGTACACGAGCAGGTGATAAGGGTGATGGAGTGCGCACGCTATAGCCGTCATTGGCCACGCGTCAACTTGGCCAACCACCCTCGGACGATGTCAAGTATCCGCAGCGGCCGATCCGTGGCAAGCGCAGAACCTTCTCCTGCAGTATGACCTTTACCAGTTCCGGGTCCTGCCTGTAGCACTGATTGCGGTGATGCAACGCGTGCCGCTAGCCCACGGAGAATATCGTCGACTGCCTCTTGATATGCCTTCTCCAGTTCCACTGTGCGTACATGGTACGGGCGGCGCACGGCGTACGGCGCGACGCCGTTGTACTTGCGCACTAGGGAATTGATCTCATCGATAGCAGTGTCATGGTACGCCCGCTCGCGCGCTTCCCATTCCTCGTCCCGGAGTGACGAGACGTGTGCGGCAGTCAGCGACTGGAGCGCAGCAGCGGGACGCGACATGGTGAGGGTACGGATGGCGCGTCTTGCCCATGCCTGACGCACGATTTCTCGGAAGGAACTCACTGCAGCCTCTAGTTCTGCATAGCCGTTACTCGTGTGCACTCTGCGTACAGGACTGCCACACTCACCTGCCTGCACTTCGACCCACGGCGGGGCGGCGCCGTTTCGTTGTATGATACGGTTCATGAGGAACTCTTCCCGCGCGATGAACGGATTTCCCTCATCGTGATGCCGCACCAACGGCTGTCCTCGACCTTTGACCACGGAGAATTGACCCGCCTTTCTAGCTTTCTGTAGTACGATCAGCCATTTTCCGGTGCATCAGAGACCCAAAAAGCACCTCTATTTTGTCTTCGATGAGACTTGTCCAGCCTCTCAAGCTAACTGGGTTCGGACGACCCTGCGGAGGCGGCTTCTCGCCCATTGGACTCTTTACTCCGAGCTTGTAGTCCAGCGTCGCCTCTCGCGCAGTTGTCAGCCGCCCGACACGCTCCGTGCGCTTCTTCGCCTCCTTCTCCTTCCTCCGTGCACGCTCGTCGACCGGAGACCGCGTGGGCGGGGGCAGGGGCGCAAGGTTGCCCAGCCGGATGGACGGCGTGTCGTGAGAGGGCGCCTTGAACGTCGTGTGCCACGGCCTGTGGCCCTCTATGGACGGCAGCAGCGGCACGTTCGCATAGTCGCGCACCGTGACCGGCGGGGGTGTCTGCTTTATCTTCTCCTCTGCAGTGCGCACGGTCCCGGTACGCAGGGGCTTGTACTTGTCAACGAGCATGCGGAGGACGGCGTGCTCCATGGGCTCGTCGCCCGTCCAGTTCTCGTGCGCGCTCTCTAGCTGAGTGAGCACGCTGGACCGCCGCCGCTCCGACGCTGCCTCTGCGGATTCCTCGGCGGCGGCATCGGCGAATAACTTTGCGCTGCCGCTCTTTTCAGACTCATGTCTGACAAGGCTCGTATGGATACATCGACAAGCTCGCAGACGTCGAGTTTGGGGCCGTATTTGCAGAAGAGTGTGATGTGGACCAGGCAACTTGGTGGAGAGCATGCAAGAGGCTTATTTTGCCGTGTTTTCATTCGGTGGCTGCTTTGGCGAAGGCTGCGGCATCCGTTCATTGATTGCTCCTCGTAACAAGTATGCATTAGATAGATACTAGGGGGTTAAGTCAGACAGTGGGGGTTGATAATACAAGTGCGCTCCATAGAATATTAAATGGTCTGTGCTCAAAGGCCCACGGCCTGTATCGGCTGCGGAGCCTGTATTCGATCTCGGGGCGAGGACCGATGGGACAGCGACGACGACGACGGTGATGGTGTGCGATGCTCGGGCGATAATGGACGGCGCGCAGAAGAGGGGAGGATAGGCAAAGAAGCTGACAGCGAGGGGACCTCGGTCGCATGGCCGTTCGCGAGTGGCGCGTCTGTGGGCTTGGGTATAGACATCGCCTCCCGATCCGATGGCGCCGCAGACAAGCTCCGTCCCCGCCCAGCCGCAACACTGCGCACTATCCGCGGACCACTGACGCGCCCAACGACCTTCTCCTCCGGCGCGCGCCCCACCCGCCGCTCGTCCGCGCTCAGCAGCGACGTCGCGGACCCGTTCGCCAGAGCGCTCAGCTTCATCATCTCCGGCTTGAGCGTCTCCTCCGAGCTGCGCGGCGACGTGCTCAAAGGGTAGATGCCCGGGCGTGCCTGCACGACGCGCTCGTAGTAGAGCATGAACGCGCCCGCGCCCTCCTGAAGCACGGACTCGATCCCGCACTCGCGCACCGCGTCGTCGCTTACGCGTAGCCACCCGCGCCCGGAGCCGCGCGGAACGTCCGCCTCGCTGTCGTCGCGCACGGGCCCAAACCGACGACACTTTTCACACTCGCAGCCTAGCGGATCGGCGAGCTGGGGAGGGGCGAAGCGAGACGCACCGGAAGACACGGGCCGGGGCTTGCGGCGGTAGCAGACGTAGTGACCGAACGAATGTTGGCCGTAGTGACAGACGACAGAGGCGAGACGGTATACCGTACGCGGGGTAGCGTATGTAGCAGGTGTCGGCGTCGTAGAGCGAGGAATGGCAGGGGGCGGCGAGGATATCGGGAGGGAAGGAGTCGTGGAGAGGTTTCCTGACGTCGTGAAGGGGGTGAGGTCGAGGACTTCAGGGAATACGACGCGGATGTTGTTTTTGGACGCGTATTGGCCGTAGGAGATCGACCGGTTGATGTGTAGTGCGAGCACGGGCGGGGGCTGCGGGCAGACGACGGTCAGTGGAGGACACGGGGGCTACGGCCGTCAATCTTACTCGGGCGATCATAGCCTGCTTCGTCGACGCTGCGCTGAACACCTTTTCCATCTTTATGCCCTTGAGCTCGTCCTCTATCCGCCCCTGATCCAATGCTTCCTTCACCCGCGCCTCTAACCGTCTCGCCTCGCGTGCGCGCCGCTTCTTGGATGTCGAAGTCCCATCTGCGAGGGCAGCCTCTGATAACCGCTGCGCCTCGTCCGCTAGCCGCCGGTGCGTAGCCAGCATCGAGCACTTGCGGCAGATGCAGTCTGTCAGTACCTCCAGATGTGTGTACTCGGCCAGGCACTCCTCCAAGGAGCAACTAGACTACGTGGCGATGAGCCGGGAAATATACTGCTGAAATTCGGTACGCACAGATAGTCGTGGGACGGCGAGCTGCCAGCTGTCGAAGGGGAAATGCATTACGGCCTCCGTGTACCCGCACTCGACACAACTCCTACGGTTGGCGGTGAGCCCGTCAAAGACGCTCTTGCCGGTGTCGCGCGACACCTGGCGCGAGATCTGCGCAAGGCCGCCTAGGCCACGATCGCGGTAGCCCTCCTTTTCGATCGCTATGGCCTCATCTTTGATACACTCAGACAGGAGCTGAAAGAGTTCCTGTGCGTCCTGGTGCTCGCGTGAGGAGAACAACGAGTTGTGCTTGTCGGTGCTACGGTTCGAGAGCGCATTGATGATGTCGAGCGGGCGAATGGCAGAGGGGGCGGATTTTGGTGCGTTCAGGACTGCGAACGGAACATTGAGTCAGTCCGAATTAGTCGGGGGGCAGGGCTTACTGTGTAATAAGTCCAGTAAAGCGTCAATCACCGGAGACGGGACATCCAGCGCTTCAGCCTTCGCGTGCACAGACTCTATGTGCGGTTGCAGATAGCACAGCGACGCAAATGCCTAGGATTGTGTGTGAGCGTAATGCGAGTGTCGTTCGCGGGGCGGCTGACCTGTATCGTCGAGTTCATGAAGCAGTATGTGCCTGATATGTTCACCAGCCCGGGATAATACCCATCCTCTGTGCCATCGGAGCCTACGACAGTTGAGTCTTTGCAGTACTTGACTTAGATAGCAACACACCCTGTGCAATACCGTTCGCCACCTGGTCCGCGCGAGTCCTGACATGTTTCTTTTTCGACTTTCTCTTCTCGTGGGTCACAGCGGACGCGGAGGGCTTACTCGACCAGCCCCAATGTAGCCCGAGACTTTCCAGTACCATAGCAAACGACCAGAAGAGCGATGTCTTGCTGATGCGAGTGGAGAGAAGGAGCACGAGCAGCGGGAAGACCAAGAGAACGACGAGCGGTGCGATTTGCTGGAAAAGCGGGTCGAGGAGCACGGACAAAAGCCAGTCGCGTACGCTGTCTAGATGGTACATGTGTAAAGCGGCGCAGCTCAATACTGGCTGCCTACAGACATGGGCGAGGAGGAGCAAACGGGCGGCGTCGGAGAGCAAGAGAATCGGTCCAGACAGCAGCGAATGTGAGCAACTCCATTTCTGGCACAACTTCACTCTGCGTCATCCAGTGTCTTGCAGTGTATTTTCTACTCTATGTTTATACTCTGCTGTGCTCTACTCGGTAACGCCCTGCTGGCGCAATGGTTAGCGTGCTTGACTTCGATTCACGATCATATCAAGAGGTTGTGGGTTCGAACCCCACGCGGGGTTTTTGGTCTGGTTTGCTACTCCCTGACGTCTGTACAAGGACCATGGGCAAGTTGTTTTGTCCAGAAACACGAAGAGCAACGGAGGGCACTATGCAATCATCCTACGTGTTGAGCGTGCGCCGCTGTGCGCTTGCAACGTGGCGCCACATATGTAATGCGCCCAAACAGGAAGGTAGTCGTTGCATCCGAGGTCCACCCGTCAGGACAAGTGTTCTTGCAGGGCCTTGCCCCTTCCTGTCCGAGTCTTTTCCTGTCTGCTACAGTCTTGAACATTGAACTGAGCCATTTGAAGGATTCACTCCACAGAATGGGTCAAAACAACCGTGAATTCCACCGCAGACAAAGAAAATCGCAACCAATGTAATCCCAATTGTCACCTCGAATTCCTGCTTCGCATTCAACCGCTCCATACGTCCGGTCCCGGGAACGTGTAGCTTTGCAGGTTGTTGTAAATGTTGATCTGCACGCGGATATACTCGTTAATTGTCACGGTGGTAGACGTGAGATGCAGTACGCACGGTGATGCCAGGGTCGGTGGAGTGGTACGCGCCGGGGAGCGCAACCGTAGGAGGGCTCGCACTGCCTCCGCCGGAGATACTTACCTGTGCGCAGCCTATTTGTTTTTTGAGGAAGGTATGAGCTCCTTCAATGGCGAGATATCAAGGGCGAAAGAGAAAAACGCACCGATGTAGAACTGGGCACCCGGGTAGGTCTCAGCGACATGCAAGCTAAGGAAGGGTTAGTCGCAAATTACGGTTGGTTCGAGTACACATAAGCGTACGCGATCTGTGAAGCCCACAGTCAGCTACGGCCAACAAAAATCAAATGCGTACTTACAATCTCAGCGCGCAGGAGATACTCCCCAGCAGGGAGGGAAGATGGGATCACGACGCTATGCTTCCCGTTGTTAGCGTTCACGACATCCGTCGCCCACTCCTGCGACGAGGGGTCGAGCAAGCCCGACTCGTAGATCTTGGTCCACACGGAGCCCTGCCCGTCGAAAGCGTCTGCGGTGGAGGGCGCCTTGGCGATGTACACGAGCACGGGGCCTTTGTGCCCGCCCGAGATCGCGTCTTCGCCCGTGCGCTCCGCGTGCTGGTGCCACTCGAATGTGATCTGTGCAGCGAGATGAGTATACAAAAATGGAAGACGAGAACTGATATGCAGTCACATTAGTCCCGGCAGGGATGGTGGCCGTCGATACACCGGCGCCGGAGAGGCCGTTCACGTTGCATGTGAGATCGGTCGATGTGACGTCGGTGACCGGGTTGTTGCTGGGTGGAACACGGATATAATTGTTCAATCCCTGGTCCGCCTATTCCTCGCAATTAGCCACGGTGGATGGATAATTCGAAGACGCTAATGCGGAGGGAGAAGCTTACCCCGTCGATCCAGATGTACTGCATCGTAACTGCGGCGATAAATAACCGTGAATATTCCCATTCCACGGAATAATATGCAAGCAAACGTACAGTGCGCATTTGCGAGTGCCGCTGAGGCGAGGATGCTGAGTGCGATCTTCATGGTAGTGTGCCGCAATATCGACATCTCGGTCCCGCAGAGGCCTTTTATGCGTGAATTGCACGCAAGGCACATTTGCGCCAAGACTTTTGCAAGCACGAGCCCTTGGACGGTGAATGGACCGCTGGATCACGGGCAGCGTCTCGGTTCCGAAGTTCAGGCGGAATTGGCGCAGGCGGCGGGTTGTCGGATTGTGGTCGGAAAAGACGCAGGTCACAGTGCCACAGCGTTCCTCCTTCTTCATATTGGAAAGAAGGAAGTGTCGTGAGTAGAAGCTCATCTCTTGTGCGCGTATTATCAATCCTAAGGCATCATGTTGATCTCGTCTTTGTACAGACCGCCGTTGTGCCTCGGAGACTCCCCTTACAATGCTCCGAGGACCTGACAAGGGCCTTCTCAGTGCATGTCGCCCCGGACCGCAGAGTGCACTCACAATTCATTTAGACAGTTTTGAAGGCATGACAGAGTATAGCAAGAGCCTGTACCGTGGGCACTATACAGTGGACCTCAATATACGCGTCGATAATCCGCGTATGTCCCATAGCCACGCGTCTATCCTTCTCCGTCGGAATGGGATGCAAGATCCTTTCCGAGCAGTCTAAAGCAGGGTTTGCGGGCAATTCGATAGCGGAGGATGGATTGCAACTTGCAATTACGACGCGACTTGCCCTATCTGCGAAGGAGCACTGGCTAGTGCAGGCTATAGGGCACAGATGGCTAGACAGGAAAGCGTTCCAATTTTATGCTAGTGGGCAGCATTGGTGACTAGACGTAAGTTTTGATTAGTAGTCATAGTCAAGTTCGACGCACCGCTGAACGCCTTGCGCTCGGCGACTGGAATACCAGAGAAAGTACTAGCGCATCGTTCGAATGAACAAAAATGATTCATTGTGCTGGGAATGTGACCACGTCGCCACGACGCGAAGAGTTTGCCCAAGGAGTAAATAAACCTAGAGAATGCCATGAGCAAAAAATATAGCAAGGCCCGCCTGAGCGGTTTCGAACAATCCCGGATAACTAGGTCTTGTCGGTGATCAGGCGACGACTCAGAAGCCGCCGGGCTGTTCTTATGTCCTGCGAGTTGTCCAATGAGACTCGATGAACTGTCCGGGGCCGCCATGGCCACGGAGAGTCTAAGGGTCGCGCACCTTCTTTCGCCATCGCAGGACACCTTGCTGAACATATGCAGGACTAAAACGATGTCGTCGGTGCATATTTCAATTTTGTTTGGCCGGCGGGGTGCGCTGGTCGTTGTTTCAATTGTCACTGGTGAACCACAGGTAGAAATAGCATGGCATATGTCGTACCTTGGCTGCAATAGCGACCTCCTGGGATACTACTCGCATGTTTAGACTCCTGGATCTGGTCCCGCAGGGCCATTCAAGCTTGTAGAGGCACAAATATTATTGACCATGAGAGTAGGATGAGCGCAATGCTAGAAAGTGGTTGCAGACGGATCGGAGAGCTGATCGGACTCGGAAATTGAAGTGACGTTCTTTGACGCCGACGCCGGGTACAACAGCGTACAACTCTGTCTGCATACCATCACCATCATCCAGTCGAGGACACTGGCAGGCCCTGCACCGACGCTGTAAAGCACAAAATACACGACACGATACATTGAAAAGTCTGGAGCACAACTAAAGGGACATACGGCAGTCGAGATTGTACGTCGGGCCCTCCCTGTCGTTGAGAATGTCTGTCCTTTTCGAGACGTCTCTAGGCGACCTCGTTATCGACCTCGAGGTTGAGGCCTGCCCAAAGACCTGCGAGAACTTCCTCAAACTGTGCAAAGTATACTACTACAACCTCAACGCGTTTTTCAATGGTGCGTCAAAACCGCGCCCCAATACGTGCAATATGACAACACTAATTTGCAGGGTTTTCTTCCATGCAGTGTCGAAGGATTTCCTTGCCCAGGCTGGCGATCCCTCCGCTACGGGCACGGGTGGCGAGTCGATCTGGTCCTTCCTGGCGTCCCAAAATGGCGCCTCCAATGACACCCCGCGATACTTTCCGCCCGAGGTCGTCCCCCGTCTGAAACACACCACAAAGGGTACTGTATCCATGGCCGTCGCGCCCGCTCTCGAAGGTCACACGAAGGGTGGGTGCGGGAGCCAGTTTTTCGTTACGCTGGCGGACGGCATTGATTACCTCGATGGGAAGCACGCGGTGTTCGGACACGTCGTGGAGGGACTGGACACGCTCGACAAGCTGAACGAGGTGTTTACCGACCAAGAAGGGCGGCCTTTCAAGGATGTGCGGATTCGGCACGTTGTCATCCTCGGTGAGTTTTGCGACTTCAGCGCTCATTGCACTTGGCTTACTCATGGATCTATCTCAGACGACCCATTTCCCGATCCACCGGGCCTCATACAGCCGCCCTCTTCCCCCACACGCCCGCCGGACAACTCCACACGCATCGCCGAGGACGAGGACCCGCTCGCGACGCTCCCCGAGGAAGAGGCCGAGCGCGTCCGCCGCGAGAAGGCCGCGGCCGCATCGGCGCTGACCCTCGAGATGGTCGGTGACCTGCCGTTCGCGAACGTGCGCCCGCCCGAGAACGTGCTCTTCGTATGCAAGCTCAACGCCGTCACGCGCGACGAGGACCTGGAGCTCATATTCTCGCGCTTTGGGACTATCATGAGCTGCCAGGTTATCAGGGATAAAAGGACCGGCGATTCGTTGCAGTATGCGTTTATTGAGTTTGACAAGAGGGAGGACGCGGAGCAGGTGTGTAATTCGCGGCATCCATTTCTGTGATATGCGATTAAACGAGCTGCAGGCATACTTCAAGATGCAAAATGTCTTGATTGACGACCGACGGATATGGGTCGACTTGTACGTACCCTGTTTCACATTTCCGGGTCCTCTTCTAACGCCCCGTATAGCTCGCAATCCGTTGCACGCATGAACAACTCATGGTCCAACAACCCAAAGATGGGGCCAAAACTGACCCAGGGCAAGCGCCCCGCGAGCAACTTCGCAGGCCGAGACGACCTGGAGGAGACTAGGCGCTACCGCGACAGCAACGACGACCGACACGGAGGGTATGGGATGGTGTTTGACGTCCCCGGTGGCGGCGGCAAGGGCTCGGAACGAAGACGGAAACGTAGCAGGAGCAGGGAGAGGGAGCCGGAACGGGAACCGCGGCGTGCTAGGCGCTCGCGGTCACCGGTGCCGCGAGAGAGGCAGAGAGACGTCCATCGGGATCGGAGGAGGAGCCCCAGTCGAGACAGGGCACGCCACGACCGTGATCGCCGCCGGTAGAACCAACTGGGGTGTTATGCTCTCGGGTCTCTTTCTTTTGACTTTGTCTATCTGCCGGTGCCACTCTGATGCTGCATTTTTTGCTTTCATTGCTAGATTCGCATGTTTCAGTCGTCATTCTGCCGTGCTCTGCTGCTGTAGAGACGAAAGCCCCTGTGTGTCGATCGTTTGAATGAATACAAGTTCAATGCTGTGAGCCGTGCACTTTCC